TTCAGTATATATATTTCACATATACATATATATATATGTATATGTGTGTTCAGCAGATAAAACAAGACAAAAGGTACTAATTTCATAGAATAACTAAATATAAATACAATGGACCACATATGCCATCTAAAAATCATTAATCATATGTTGCTATAATATTTTATACAATCAAAAATAATAAGCAATTAATATATGATTATATATGATGATATATGAATATAGCAAAGAAAGTTAAATTTTCTTTTAAACTCAAAAGGCAGGAACAGAACAAATAAAGAAAAGAGGATTAAAAAAAAAAAAAAACACCAAAACAAGTATTAATCACGGTACATGACAGATCTCATCATATCTCTTCAAAAAATAAATACATTTTTTGTTATTAATTACTCTTAGGGATTTAATTAAATGTTCTACTTCACATAAGACATCTATAAAAGTAGGTATTTTCTTAAGAAACCTTTGTAAAAAAAAACACCAAAACAAGTATTAATCACGGTACATGAAAGATCTCCTCATATCTCTTCAAAAAATAAATAAATTTTTTGTTATTAATTACTCTTAGTGATTTAATTAAATGTTCTACTTCACATAAGACATCTATAAAAGTAGGTATTTTCTTAAGAAACCTTTGTTTGTGAAAATAGAATTTTGCCACAAGGATAAGAAAGTTAACAGTAGATTCTAAAGATTTGTTTTGGTTTTCAAAAAAGCAAACAACATCCTTAATGTGTAAATTACAGTTCATATTAACTTTAGAAAAACAGGAACTCAAATCTTTCCAGAAAAGTGATGAAACATTACATGAGAAAAATAAATGACAAATATCTTCACTTTCTTTTTTTTACAGAAGGTGCATATCAGCTACACAGTTTCGACACAAAAGCATTACAAGGGTATATATTATGCAAAATTTTAAAATGCACTTCTTTCACTTTATTGGGTATACAGTATTTATATGGTAATAACCATGTTTTCCTCCACTGAATGTTATCTATTTTAGAACCCCAAACAAGTTTCCCTTTTGGAGAAATTGAGTTTCGAGATTGAGAAAGTTGACGAATAAATTAGTACATTCTTTACTTAAAAGCGAAACACCTCCCAAACATAACTGTGAAGGTTGTTTTGAGCATGACTCATGGGTGAGGGAAGCTTTCATCAGACATATTAATCCATCAGGAATCACCTTTATAACAGAGTTAAATTCTTTAAACGGAACGGAACATTGATGGATATTCATAAAACATTCAAAAGATAACAAATCACCATTAGAGTTGAATAGATCAGCAACAAAAATGTTTTTTATTAAACCATTTATTAAAAAAGACCGATCTATTTCTAATTTTAATATCCAAATGATTCCATAAGATGGTTTTGTGGGGGGAAAAGTTGGGGTTGTAAACCAGTTTCCAGGCTAACAAAGCTTGTTGATGAAATCTAGTCAGTTTAATAGGCAATTTACCAGTGGAGTAATTGCATTTCATCAAAAAAGAAAGGCCACCTACCCTATTATTAAATATATTATTAGGAGAAATTTTCTTTTAAACGCTGTCAACCGTTATACGCCATGACTTCAACGAAGCGGCTCCGCCCATCAGTGGTACGTCAGAGTCGAGGCGGAAGCGGAAGCGGAAGGCAAGCAGTGGGCGCTGAAACATGGCGTGCACATACACACGCACAGTCAGGATGACAGCCGGCGCGTGTGTGGTTTCTGCGCTTATCGCAACATGTGTGATGCTGCAGCCCGCGTCGGCCAAGTCGGACAATTTAAGAGTAATCACAGATGGAAACTGGGAGGAAATCCTGACGGGAGAATGGATGATCGAGTTGTGAGTTATTAAACTGAGTTGTGCAAAAAAAAGTCTGAGTTTATTTATGTTTATCTATGCATGTTGATTAATGCTGCACATGAATCTAAATGATCTAAAATATCTAGCTTCAGATTATTACATTACTTCTTATTGCAGTGTTCTTGTGCTGGATAGAGGGCTCAGGATTGAGGAAGTTCAGTGGTCTGAGGTTAAAGGAATAGTTCACTCAAAAACGATTTAAGATTTCATCAGTAACTTCCCCAAATGTTGATTCAAAACCTCATGACTTTCTTTTTTTTCCTTGGAACACAAAAGGAGATGTTAGGAAGAATAACAGCCTCAGTCACCATTGATGTTCATTGCATCTGTATCTGATTGGTGACTGTCATTCTGCCTAACATCTCTACCAACATGACTGTGAATAAGTGATGTCAGAATCTTCACTGCCCCTCTCTGCAGAAGTGTTTAACAGTAGTTTCCCCTGCACACTTCCTCCAGCTGGAGCAATCGAACAAGAGGATTGTAGTTAAATGGATCCAATGGAAAACAAATGAGCCTCAGTGTCTTTGTGCCTCCTCTGGCTGGGATTGTGTTATTGGATTAAAAGGTTTGCCTGTCTGCTGCAGCTTTGCTCCGTGGTGTCCAGCCTGCCAGCAGCTCCAGCCTGTGTGGAATGAGTTTGCAGAATGGGGAGAAGATTTGGGAGTGAATATTGCCAAAGTGGATGTCACCGAGCAGCCAGGTTTGACTCCATGTGCTGCCCACATCTGGTTTCTCTGCTCACCTGATCGCCTGTGTTTATGATTCTCACACTTGTCTCTCTCTATGTGCTGCAGGTTTGAGCGGGAGGTTCATCATCACAGCTCTCCCAACTATCTACCAGTGAGTTTCTTTGCATTTACATACATCTATTTAACCCTTTCTTTAGAAGTTAGTGAGCTGGTAATTGGTGATGGATTTGATCAAATCAAAAAAGTAAACGTAGTTGTGAACTATTGAAGTCTATACTGTCGTTTTTGATTAATGCAACTTTGCTAAATAAAAGGATTAGTTTTCTTTTGTTTAGATAGATAGACACCGGCAATTGTCTTGTTTACATCTGTGTTGTGTAAAGGCAGTTATAAGTGGTTAAACATGGCTGTTCGCGTGTGTGTTGCAGCTGTAAAGATGGTGTGTTTCGGCGGTATCAAGGAGCCCGATCTAAAGATGACTTCCTGAGCTTCATTGGTGAGAAGAAATGGCAGAGCATAGAGCCGGTCTCTTCCTGGTTCGGCCCCTCATCCTTCCTGTGAGTACATTCTGTGTGTGCTGGGGTGGTTTCAATTGTATAATAATGCAATAGCTCTGGGCTATATCTCCAGAAGAAGGAGTTTAGAGAATCCACAGCATGTGGTTAATGCTGATTCACAAGTTGGCTCACTTTTAATGTAATACTGGCAGGCGATTTTTCCACTTGATTTGACACAATTTCTGTGACTGACTGACTGACTGACTTTTTTTTATTTTAGGATGAACGCAATGTCAGCCCTCTTCAAGTTATCCATGTTCATCAGGGTGAGTGTGTATGCCTATTAATATTTAACTACTGCATACTTGTCAGTTTTGTGAATTAAATTCAGTGAAAGTATATACACTATTTTCCTAGCGATTCGTTGAATAATTTAGAGTTATAACTTAAAGGCACACATCATTTAGAATTCAAGCTAATGGTGAAGGAACCAGCAGCAGACACTGAGAGATATAGTCAGCCGGTCGATAATGCAAAATAAACCCCCTGACCTCAAGTAGAGGTGACTGTATCATTATTCTGCATATGACACAGCATAGAGTAAGCATAATTTAAAGACAGAAGATATATGTTTGTTTAATGACTCCCTGCAAAGAAATATATTCAATCGTAAACACCTGAGCTGATACCATTATAATGTGTTCAGAGAGGTTTTCATGCAGTCATTTAAATGTTTTTTTTAAACTTTGTGTTTCAGCATTGCCATAATTACTTAACGGAGCAGCTGGGCGTCCCGGTTTGGGGCTCGTATGGGATATTTGCTCTAGCAACACTCATCTCAGGATTGGTCCTTGGATTGGTGAGAATACACACTTGTATTCAAAAGTTTAAGGTTGTGTGATTTTTAATGGCTTTTTAAGTAATTTGTGCTCACCATAACTGCACTTAGTTGATCAAAAATGCAGTAAAAACAACTTGTGAAATATTATTACAATTTAAAATAACTGTTATATTTTAATCTACTAGATTGTAATTTATTTTAGATGGCAAAGCTGAATTTTTAGCAGCCATTACTCAAGTCTTCAGTGTTACACAGTCCTTCAGAAATCGTTTTAATTTGCTGATTTGGTGAAAGAACATTTCCTATTTTTATCAGTGTTGAAAAGAGTTGCTGCTTGATCATTTTTGGAAACAGTGATGCATATATTTTCAAGGTTGCTTTGATGAATAGAAAGTTCGAAACAACAGCATTTATTTGAAATTGACATTTTTTGTAATATTATAATGTCTCTTACTTTTGGTCAATTTAATGTGTCCTTGCTAAATTAATATATTTTTAAAAGTATTACTAACCCCAAACTTACTAATGGTTGTGCACACAAGATATGTTTCAAGTGTAAATGAAGTGGGTAATCCCAGAATGCATTGCAGTGAACTCATTTTTCCAAAATTGTGGATTTAAAAGTCTAAATAGTATCAATAACATGCTCAATCTAATTTTGTGTGCTTTTACATCATTAGCTTAGAACATGCTAACATTAAACTCTATTGAAATCGTTTTTAAATGTCTCCTTGATTTCTTTCTCTCAGATACTGGTTTTCATCGCAGATTTTGCGTTCCCATCACGCCGGTTTGCACCAGATTATCACTACAGTAAGTGTGAATGTTTATTTGAACCTGCCTGCTTGACTACAGGAACATGTAATGTACCTGAGATTCAATAAACGTGATGATTGAAATAAAAAACAACATGACAATAATAAAACTATGATGAAATGACGCATAAATGTTTGTGTAGGGAAACTGCCTGCTGGGCAGGTACGTCTCCTGCAGCAGTTGGAAGATGAACAGGAAGCAGATGGAGAGGAAGAGGATGATGACGATGATTACGGTGGAAAGACTGAAGAGTGGCGGCGAGCGGATGGAGCCGATGCGCTCAGGAGAAGAGGTGTGGGTGTGCCGGAGGAGGACACCTAGTAGACTGGAGAGGAACGGCCTCTCGCTCACTGCACAAAACCACCACACAAACTGCAGCGCTCATTGAGCTTGGTGATGTCACGTGTGATGTCATAGCTCCCTCTGAAAGATTGATGTGGTTGTGCTTTTCTCTCTTTCTTGCCGCTAGTTTGTGTGTTTTCTCTTTTCCTCCTGTCCAGTTTTAATTATTACACTCCTTGTTATGCAGTATCTCTAGAGTGTGTGTGTGTGTGTGTGTGTGTGTGTGTGTGTGTGTGTGTGTGTG